AATTAATTAATTAGTCCCTTCTATATCGACATGGTCTTCATTGTTGAAGATGTTAATTTAGATAAGGTTGTTGTATAAGAATTTGTTGTGTTAAACCTGTGAGCGTATAGAGATTGAGTGGAAATTAATTGGGATTTGGGGATGAAAGTGAGGGGGAAAGGTGGAGGAGGGCGGAGGGGACAGCATTCGCATACAAGGAGAGAAGCCATTAACGGTGTTAAATGATGATGTGTTCAATTAATACACCTGGCAAAAACTAATTGGTTAACCGGACCAACTTGACCTAATTATTTTTAATATCCTATCTTTAATAAGGACAGATGTGAAAAAAATTATGAATTTAATGTATTTTTTAGTTTATAGACTTGAGATATAAGTAACTTATATAAATAACAACATAGTGCCGCCATTTTAAAACCATTTAAATCCTCACTTCTTAATGCTTACTCCTTCTGCCCCTTATTATAAGCAACATAGTACTTCATTACGTAGATCAAAAAGTTAGTTAAAAATAATAAATAGGTAAAAATTAGAAGTCTTTTCTCCAAAATACCCTTATTTATAGGGGAGAAAGAGTATAAGAAAGAGAATTAAAAAATTATTATAATAAAGAGAATTATAAAAGAGAGAGAATATGTGATTTGTTGAGATAATGGTTTAAGAAATGAGACAATAAATATATTGAATATTCAAACAAGTAATTCACAGGGTAAAATAGAAAATTTGCTAAAAAAATTTAAGACAACTTGTAAATATTTTTTATATTTAGAAATAGGAAGGGAATGGTAGTTGTTACTTATAAAAAAAAAAAAGAAACAGTGGTGTACTGTATAAGTACGATTCCTTCGGAAAATAAGGAACGTACAAGAGAAATCCACAAATTGGGATATAAGAATGGAATAGATGAAGTCATTGCGAGCTGCGTGTTGGGCAAAAATGGAATCGCTGGCCGTAGATATGTATACGAATTACGACTAGTTTTTGTGTATGTGTTGTTTGATACTCCTTCCAGTTCTATTTATAAGTTTTAAATTTAAAAAAGAGTATGCTCTATTTTATAAGCTTCAATTTGGGTTTGTTTTCATATTTAATATTTTTTTTAATATTACACTTAATTATTTCTTTCTTACTATATTTTTCCACACATTCTCTTTCATCCCTTTTTTCATTTATTATAATGTTATATTTGAAAACAAAAATATATTTCTAATTTATTTATTACTTTTAACTAATTTTAACTAATAGTTTGTTATCTGTAAATTAGTTACTTAAAACTTACACGGAATATTCTTTAGGAAGCATTACTTAAATAAGGAAGGCAAATGCTTTGAGGTTGTTGACCCTTTTTTTTTTTTTTTGACCGGAAGGTTGTTGACCCTTGTCACCATATAGTACATACCATTCTAGTCCTTAATATAGATCACCTGTAACACATCTTCACAAACCAATAATGCATTAAATTGATAAAATTTTCTAATTTTACCTTTATTAAAGTTCTCTCTCTATATCTTTCTCTTTTTAATGAAAATTAAAGGGTTAATATAATCTTTGGTTCCTCAAATTTGCTTTCACTTTAGTTTTGGTCCTTCAAATTTCAAACCACAGGTTTTGGTTCCTCAAGTTTTTTTTTTATTTAAAACATTGGTCCCTATAATTCAATAAAAAATTAGACCCTTTTGCCCCTAGAGAGACCAAAACTTATGGTTTGAAACTTGAAAGACCAAAACTAAAATAAGAGTAAACTTGAAGGATCAAAGATTATATGAACCCAAAATTAAAGGTAAAATTGAAAAATAAGCATTAAATATGCTACAAGTGACTTACATTAAGAACTAGAGCGGTCTCCCTCTGATCCTATTTATAAGTTTTGAATTTAGAAAGGAATGTGGTTCATTTTATAAGTTTTGATTTGGATTTGTATTAATATTTAATGTATTTTTTCTAATATTATTCTCAATTATTTCTCTCTTATCACATTTTTCCACACATTCTTTCTCATTCTTTTTCTCATTTATCATAAGGGCATATTTAAAAACAAAAATCTATTTCAAATCTATTTATTATTTTAAACTAATTTTAACTAATTGTTCATTGTCTGTGAATTAGTTATTTGAAACTTATAATAAGAACCAGATGGAGTGCGTGTGTGTGTGTATATATATATAAAAGCATCCCTCGTGTATCGAGGTAGGCTTTCCTTTCGTTGAAATATATTTCTATTTTCTTTTTTTAAAAAAATAGAGATTCAAAATCTTTTTATTCAAAAAAAGAAAAATAACAAAAAATATTAGAATTCCAAATTTTAATAGAAGATTTTTATTTATTATCAAATTGAAATTTATAAATAGATTAATAATTAATGCATTTAGAAAATATTCTAAAAAATAAATAGAAATATTTTATTAATTAATATTAAATATAAAAATAAAACTTATATGGGAAAGTTAAAAGAATGCTTAAAGGTTGCACAGAGTTGTCTCTTTCCTTTTTATCACCCAAAAAAAAAGAACAAAGAAACCTAAATAGAGTTGTGTAGATTGGTTATAAGTTTGTGAAAAGCATTAATGTTGATGTTGAGGATGCTTTGAGAAGACGCAAATGCCATTTTCAATTATGTGTCTTTCTCTGCTACATTCTCGTAAATAAACAAAAACTTTCGCACATGTCCGTGATCCCTGTTTAAAAAAAGTTATTGAATAAAAATATATTGTACATTTTCTCTCACATATTTTTTATTGCAATTAACTAAGAGTAAAATTGAAAAAAAATATCAGTAATTACCCTACAAAATGACTTATATTTAAAAACAAGTATTAAATACAATAAAAAATAGGTGAGAGAAAATGCACAGCGTATGTTTCTTTGATACTCTGTCTGTAATGAAGACAAATGTAAAATTTTTTATCAATTTAATACATCTTCGTATAAGAAAATGTGGCACAAAATACTTGTACATAGAAAAATGCTACTTCTCCCGTCCTAAATATAAGACTCATTTTGTAGTGTAATTTACACTACAAAATGGGTCTTATATTACCGGAGGGAGTAATGTAATTAATTGCATTGGGCCTCTTACTGCTTGTTGAAAATTTGACTGCTTTTTGTGCGTGCACAACAATAATTCACATGCTAAGGTGGCTTTGTGGATGCCATGTCATGGGATCCCCTGAAACCATGTCTTCATCCATTGGATTCCGAATTCCTTGATCAATCAAAAGCTTGATTCTATCTTAACTGTTCATTTGCAAGTGATATTCATAGTGTTCACAAACATTCATTTTTTTATTTCAAAACTTTCTTATAATTTAATCCATAACAATTTTCACATTGAATCCACAAATTTCTGTAATTTTTAGTAAACTCTAGATCATTAGAACTTTCTCTACTCGTAGCATTCATGCCATCACCCTTCAATGTACAATCTTACACATCACTGTCCATGTTAGCTTCCAAGGAACCTCTTCATGTAAGCAGAAATTGATAAAGCATATGGGCTTTTGGGCTTCAAACTTGGGCCCTCTCCAATTAGGAATCTTAGTGGACTCTTTTTCCTAAATACGTTAAAAGGTTTGTTGGGCCTCTTAATGGATAAGTTCATCTTGAACCTTAGCATCTCCATGTTACAAGTATCTGACTTCTTAGTTGGGACGGCTATCAGCGCATGACTCATTTCATTGAGATTATATGCAATCCGCATATAATAAATAGAAATATAAGCGGATGATCAGCAAAGAACATATGAGAAATGGGAATCCAAGAGCTGAAACGAAACTACTCTTATCTATCTTAAAATCGGTAAAACTATTTTTGAAAAGTTAATTCAAATACCTCCAAATATGACCAAGCCAAACTTCACATGGAAAACTCTGTGGGTACGAATATTCGTCCCGTGGCCCCCACTCTCTTACTCTGGGAGTTTTTTTTTTTTTTTTGTGCAGCAAATTAGCAATCAAATATATGCAACATGTTAGAAAAAGGGGGCGAAAAAAAGAAGGAGAAGCCAATCGCTTGCTAGAAATTTTTCTATCTGTGGGAAGTTGGGGATTAAATCCTATTTATTTATAAAAGAAATCTATCAATTTACATTATTTACAATTTATGTAAATTTTTTCAACATATCAAACTTTGCCTTATTTATACTTTTATTGCTATCATTTAACATATCAAATTCGATATTATCTAAATTCTTGTTATATATTTTTTTAATATTTCAAATTAAAATTAGCTACACATTTTTTAATTTATACTACATCCTATTCTAAATATAAAATCTAGTTTTTGCAGTACAATTTATACTATAACTAGATATTACATTTAGGACTAGAGGTAGTGTGTGTATATTATTCAACATGTAAAATTTTATATTATCTATACATTTATTTGTTTACGCATGCTTATGGATAATCTCAAATTTTATATTATTTGTATATTTTCCAATAAGTACACTTTTACATCACGCACAAAAATTATATGTTACTCTTTGTGTTCTTAATATAGGATCTAATTATTAAGTTGATTTTGATCCTAAATATAAGACGTATTTTTCATATTTATCTATTTTTTCTAAATTATCCTTATGATACTTTGTCATTCATAATGAAATAGAAGATGGAGGGAGGATATTAAGAATGATGATGATGATATTTTAGGAAAAACATGTTATATTTCTTATAATTAACTAACTTACCTATTTTTATTAACATAATCAAATTAGTTAAACAGATCCTACATTAAGAATCAGAGGAGTATCAAACTCATATCTTTTTAGTAATTATACATTTAAAAATACTGCTCAACGTTCATTGCATATCATCCAAACAACATCTTAATTTATTAACTTAGCGCGCTTTGTATCCAAATATAAATCTCCTTGCGATAACTAAGTTTTTCCAAACCGTTTTTTGTCGAATGAAGTATAATCAATTCGCCCTCATAAATTGTTCTTATTCTGGATCTTTGCATATATAACGATAGCAGCATAACTACGTGCATTCCATATGTAGGATTACAAATTATAACATAATTTGATCAAGCTTTTTTCTCCCTGATGGAGGTTTCTGGAAAAGGACCACATTGGCTATAATCAACAAATCATAGTCTTCTTCATCTTCTTGGTTCAATACGTTTTATTCAATCCATCATATTAATTGCATTATATTACTTCATTAATTGCAATTTTTGATGAATGTTTGAATCATCACAACCCATAACCAATTCAACCTCATGATTGTCATTACAAGGGCTGCCTTTACCATCCGTTGGAGATCCCACTTTGATTTCAGGAAAGCTACTTTGTGAAGGAACAAGTTGATTCATCATCTTCATCTCTTTGCCTTTCCCCCATAGAACCATATACAACCCACACACTAACAACAATCCTCCTATTATACTGCAAATTTTCAATGACAAAACATAAAATAGAAAGTAAATCGTTTAGATACATATATATATGTGATATTTTTTTGGAAAATAAAAGAATATATATATTAAAAAGTTGTATGAATATGTGAAGAGCTACCATACCTTCCAAGATATAACTGTTCGTCTAACATAAAAGAACCAGCCAAGGCCACAAAGATGAGGAGAAGAGGAAAAAAAGCAGCCACATAAAGAGGGCCTTTCATGTGCGCACACCATGCCATTACCACCACCATTATTCCAGACACAATAATTCCCTACATTCATTGGTAAAATTTATATATATGAACAAAAGTGGAATTATAACTTAAATGAAATATAAAATTCGTGAAGGACAACATTTTTAACAAGTTATGAGCAATGTGACTCATTGGTCAAATGTCTTACCCCATAGGCCACTGTGAGAAGCCTAATATCCCAACCAAACTTCCATTGATTCAAATCGCTCTCAAAAGCAAAAGCATATGCAGTTGATAAGATTGTAGCCATGAAACTCATTAGAGCTGTGCTTGAATAATAACATGGATAAGTCTTGCTCATCTTAGCCTGTATTAATTGCAAGAACCAAAATAAGGTTAATATGAGTGGATGAGTGAGTTTAATTAGGTTAATTAGTATAAGGGTGAAGGTGCAGAACCCAAAAGTTTTCACTTAAAAGTTTTTTTTAAACTGCAAATTTATCCTCAAAAACTTAAAATTGTAGCAATTTCGCCCTCTAACATAAAGAAACTAACATTGACTGTCAAAATAGTAATATTAACTGTTAATATTTTTAATAGTAAGGGACAAAATTGCTCAAGTTTAAAACTTTCAAAATAAATTTATACTTAATAAAACTTTGGAGTACCCAGTATTTCCGAATAAAAACTTCCCAATAAATTTATATCTTAACTTTTGTACTAACGTTCCTTTTTTTCAAAAGAGAAAGACCTGAATGATAAGCCATAAAGCTTGAGTAGCGCTGTTCCCTAGACAACAAAGGGCACCCAAGAGAGCTCTCGCACTAGAGGGAGCTAGTGCCGATGCCACGTGTCCCTCACGATAATGCATGAGGGTGACGTGGAAGGAACCTGTGTCTATTTTTGTGCCTTTGACCAGTGTTAGAACCATGGCCCCCCCAACTGACACTATTGTTCCAATGATCTTCCCTTGTCCTGCCGCTGTTCTTAAACTCAGTGTCTCCAAACTGTGTACAAGTTTGAACAAACCAAGGCATAGAATACAAATAATTTTCTTAATTTTACTTTTCAAAAGATAATAATAAAATATATACAAATTTATTAAAAGAAAACAGAAATGCAATAATGAAACTCACCCGAAGGGGACGGCCATGAGAAAAGTGATGGCTGGAGTAAGATTGTCCATGGTGGTAGCAAATGTTGCAGAAGTTAAAGCCAATGATTCCAAGTACAAGTTTTGTGTCAATGCTCCTCTACACAATAATTAATTAGTATCATAGTAATATCAGTTAATTTATGCTAGTTTTCCTCACAATAATACATAATAATCTGAATAATCATGTGAAGAATGAAAAGTTAAAAGAGCCAATAACATAAAAATCTACAATATTAAATAAGAGCAATATGAAAAGAATGTAATAATATCCCATGCAGTGACTTATAGGAGAAGATGGAATCATAGGAGGTGGTATTACCTTAATTAATAACCAGAAACACACATAAAATAATTATCAATTATTAGTTACTTGGTACATACCCAAACAACCCACATAGAAATGCCTGAAACAGTATGCTCCAAGTCATCTTTGGTCTTTTATTCCTGCAAAATAATTATTTATCATATACAAGTCATTTAATGGAAAAACAAAAGCTCTTAATAGATCTTTTATGGGATTTCATTGAACTGCAAAGCCTTTCTCAATTAAATTAAAATCTGTGTTTGACGGTTTATATTATAATCATTTTCGAATCTGATTACATTCAATAAATACATCTACCACTATCTTATCTCCTAATTATGGGTGGTGTTTCCAACATTCAATAAAAAGAAATTAATGAATGAACCTTTCGAGAAAGAAAGCGAGAGGAGCAATGAAAATAGTGGCGAATATATAACGATAAGCAATGACGATTCTGAGGTTCATGCCGTCGTTGACGGCGAGCTTGTACAGAACATTGATGCCGGCGTATGTCAGCTGAAGAACCACCATTAACATCGCCGGCTTCAGCCCCTCAAGCACTTTACAAACTTCTCCCATCTTCATCATCGTTAATAACCCTTAGAACCACCACGTGCGGCGGCGGCACCACCGACTGCCGTCACAGATACTTTGGATAGAGTGAGAGAGAGAGAGAGAGAGAGAGAGAGGAAGTGGAATCACAGGGTGTAGTATGGGCGGAAGGTGAAGGTGGTATTTATGTAGCCATCAGTCAAAATAAAGAAAAAATTATCACCGGGAAGAGGAAAGTAATATATATACATATATATTAAATGCTCTAGAAATTGTCAAACTTTGTATTTTGCCAGATCTAGAAATTATCAAACGAGACTTATATTTTCAACTAGGCGAGACTGAGGAAATGACATATATAAGAACTAAAAAAGTATATTATTTGGTCATATTTACTCCTCTGGTCCTATAAGAAAGATTTTTTTGGTCATATTTATAAGTCACTTTATTAAATTTTTAGTATGATTATACTATTTTGTCCTTAATTTATTATAATATATGTAGTTATTTCATTTAAAAAGTATATATATTAAATATGGGTAAAATTGGAAACTTGTTATATTTTAATGGAGAATTAATGCATTTTAAGGTTTTCCTTGATCTGTGTAAAATATGTTAGAAGTACCTTATAAATAGGATCAGAAGAATATATGTTTTTACAGAATGAATAAAAAAACCTAATTGAGTGATTTATTTTGACCATAAACATAAGAACTCAGTTTTTGGTATCTTTCATTTGATATTTTCTTTCCATGTTACTCTCATTGATTTCAAAGTTTTTGTTACTTTTTTTGTCTTCCAAATATAATACTCTTATTAAAATAGGAGTATTTTAGAGAACAGATTATTCATATAATAATAAACAAAGAACATAATTAATTTTTAATTTCTTTAAATTGATTAACTAGATTTTATATTTAGAAAGGAGTTACATGTTATGAATATAATATCTTTATGGATGTCCATGTATCTATCATTATCTTTTATTATTATATTTGTAGATTCTATCAAAGATGTAAAACCGTGCCTAGAAATAGAGGCCATGTACAATGTATTCAGTACCCCATTGAATAGAAAGAGAAATACTCTCTCTTATTGATATTTTTTCTTCTCTGTTCTTCTTCTTTATTTATAACACGTTATCAGCACGAGGGCTCTAACAAAGGTATAATATTCATATCTTATTATTATACATTATGTTTCATGATTTATTGTCTATCCTCTATACTCTTCTATACTCTTCTACACTATGAGTATTTTGTTTTTTCCCCATTCTTTTCCTAAATGGCTTGAAGCCATATGGTTTAAAGTTTTCTACTTTATGGCCAGAAGCCATAAAACTTTATTATTCTTTCTTATGGCCAGAAGCCATAAAAACTTTGTTTTCTTTCTTATGGCCAGAAGCCATAAAACTTTGTTTTCTACTTTATGGCCAGAAGCCATAAAACTTTATTATTTTCTTATGGCCAGAAGCCATAAAACTTTGTTATTCTTTCTTATGGCCAGAAGCCATAAAACCATTTTATACTTTAGAAGCCATAAAACTTTGTTTTCTTTCTTATGGCAGAAGCCATAATTTTTTTTTTCTTTCATATGGCTAGAAGCCATATAATTTTTAACTCATGACCAGAAGTCATTCAAATTTGATTTTATCTGAGTAAATGGCTAGAAACTATGTATATATTTATTTCTGAGAAATATTTATTGTTTATTTGTTAATTTATTTTGATTTGATAGATATGATTTTAAAATGATTATATCTGCAGAGACAATATACCAAATTTTGTCTCTTTCTCATTTAATTTTCTTTTCATTTGTTTTTTTTGGTAATTTATTTTTTTTTCCTTTCTTTTCTTCTCATTAACGAAGAGCAATGTAATTTCCATACATGACATTTTTTTTAATATTATATTCTTTTGTGGTAGTGCCATCATGTCAAACCTTACAAAACTTGAGTTTGTGGCTCTTGACATTACTGGGAAGAACTACTTATCTTGGGTACTAGATGCGGAAATTCACCTAAATGCCAATGGTCTGGGAGACACAATTAAGGTAGAAAATAAGGCATCTAATCAAGAAAAGGTTAAAGCTATGATCTTTTTACGCCATCATTTACATGAAGGACTAAAAATGGAATATTTGACCATTAAAGACCCACTCATTCTTTGGAACAATTTGAAAGAAAGGTATGACCACCAGAAAACTGTCATTCTCCCAAAAGCTCGTTATGAATGGATGCACTTGCGCCTGCAAGATTTTAAATCTGTTAGTGAGTATAATTCTGCGATATTTAGAATCAGTTCTCAACTGAAATTATGTGGAGAAAAAGTCACTGATGAAGACATGTTGGAGAAAACATTCTCCACATTTCATGCATCCAATGTGCTCCTGCAGCAGCAATACCGTGAAAAAGACTTCAAAAAGTATTCTGAACTAATTTCTTGCCTTCTTGTAGCTGAGCAAAATAATGAGCTTTTAATGAAAAATCATGAATCCCGTCCAACCGGCTCCACTCCATTCCCAGAAGCAAATGTAGTAGTAAATGGACCAACACGTGGTTGTGGACGAGGACATGGACGTGCACGAGGCCGTCGCATTGACCGTGGATGTGGTCGTGGTCATAATCGAGGTGGTTTAAATTCCTATTCAAAGAGGGCAAAGAATGATGAGAATCACAAGAGAAAAACTAGTGGAAGTAATAATCACTCTGAAGACTCGTGTTATCGTTGTGGTGGGAATGGTCATTGGTCACGTACCTGTCATACACCGAAACATTTGGTTGACCTTTATCAAGAATCGCTTAAAAATAAAAGTAAAGGCAACGGCAAAATGCCAAGGGTAGAAACCAATTTTGTTGATGAAGAGGGCGATTCTGATTATGGCAACATGGATGTCACTCATTTGGATATTGCTGATTTCTTTGCTGATCCTAATGGAAAGATTGATCACCTGATTGGTGATGGGAATGTTCAACAATAAATTGTTTTAGTGAAGTTAAATTTCTATGATTTTTTTTTCTTTTTCATCTTCTTTTATAAAGTTTCTACTCAATGTTGTTATCTTTCCAAATTAATAAAATTACGAATATTTTCCTTTTATTAATTTTGTTTCTTCCTTCCTCTCTTGACTATGTTCCTTGTAACGAAAAATGGCTCCTATTGACGTCAATCATGAAGATTTATGTCTTGTTGACAGTGCAACAACTCATACAATACTTAGAAATAAAAAGTATTTCTCTTCTTTGGTAATGCAAGAAGCCAACGTTCAGACTATATCTGGAAGTGCAAAACTGATTGAAAGCTCCGTAAGAGCCAATATATTGTTACCTGGAGGAACAATATTATACATTGATAGTGCATTTTACTCAACTAAGTCTAAAAGAAATTTGTTGAGTTTTAAGGATATCCGCAAGAATGGATACCATATCGAAACAACAATTGAGGAAAATCAAGAATATCTTGCTATTACAAAGTCAACCTCAGGTAAAAAATGCACACTAGAAAGATTGCCTGCATTTTCTTCTGGCTTGTACTACACAATTATTAGTACAATTGAAGTACACATCATTATAAACCAGCAGTTTGTAAATGATAACAAATTAATGTTTGGCATGACCGGTTAGGCCATCCCGGGACAATTATGATGCGAAAAATAATTGAGAATTCATGTGGACATTCATTGAAAAGTCAACAAATACCACAATCCAATGTTTTCTCATGTAATGCATGTTCCAAGGGAAAGTTAATTGTTCGTCCATCACCAAGAAAACTAAAAAGTGAGCCTCTCACTTTTCTAGAACGCATACAGGGAGATATTTATGGACCGATACATCCACCATGCGGACCATTTAGATATTTTATGGTTCTAATTGATGCATCAACAAGATGGTTGCATGTCTGTTTATTATCTTCGCGTAACCTAGCGTTCACAAGATTATTGGCTCAATTAATTAGATTAAGAGCACATTTCCCTGATTTTCCTATCAAGAAAATACGTCTTGATAATGCTGGTGAATTTACTTCACAAGCTTTCAATGATTATTATGTCTCTTGGGATTGATGTTGAACATCCTGTGGCTCATGTGCACACACAAAATGGACTTGCAGAATCATTAATCAAACGTTTACAATTAATTGCGAGACCATTACTTATGAGATCAAATCTCCCAATTTCTGCTTGGGGACATGCAATTTTGCATGCAGCAATGTTAATTCACATCAGGCCAACAAGTTATCTCAAGTCCTCCCCTTTACAAGTGGTTTTTGGTCACGAACCTAATATTTCCCATCTAAGAACTTTTGGATGTGCTGTACATGTTCTAATTGCTCCCCCACAACGTACCAAGATGGGGCCTCAAAGAAGGATGGGAATATACATTGGATATGAATCTCCAGCTATAATAAAATATCTAGAACCCTCAACAGGAGATTTGTTCACGGCTCGATTTGCCGATTGTCATTTTGATGAGTCAGTTTTTCCAACAATGAGGGGAGAAAATAAGAAGTTGGAAAAGGACATTAGCTGGAAAGAATTATCACTGTCTCATCTTGATCCCGCACAAAAGAATGTGAACTGGAAGTTCAAAAGATAGTCAATTTACAAAGTTTAGCAAATCAATTACCAGATGCATTTACTGACCCAAAGAGAGTAACAAAATCACATATTCCAGCTGTTAATGCTCCTATTAAAATTGATGTCCCTGATGGACAACCAATTGTGAACGATTCTAAAGCACGTATGAAGCGTGGCAGGCCCATCGGCTCCAAAGATAAAAATCCTCGAAAGAAAAAAGGAGCTAAAAGTAGAGATGGCCTAGTCGAGAATAATTTAGAAAAGTTAGCAACTCCAGAAGAGGCATTAGACAACGCTAACGTCCCAATTCTCAGTGAAAGTCAGGTACCTGAAATATGTGAAAATGATGAGATCTCAATTATTATGTTATGAATGGGATACGATGGGACTGAAGTGAAGTCGACGTCGATGATATTTTCTCTTATAATGTAGCGTTCGATGTGATGAATGATAATGAGGATCATGAGCCAAAGTCAATTAGTGAATGTAAACAAAGAAAGGATTGGCCAAAATGGAAAGATGCAATTGAGGCAGAATTAAAATCGCTAGCACAGCGAAAAGTTTTTGGACCAGTAGTCCTTACACCTGAAGATGTAAAACCGATTGGATATAAATGGGTTTTTGTGCGAAAGAGAAATGAAAAGGGTGAAATCATAAGATACAAAGCACGACTCGTTGCCCAAGGATTTACACAAAGACTTGGTATCGATTTTGAAGAAACTTATTCACCAGTAGTGGATACAACTACTTTTCGATACCTGATTAGCCTCGCAGTAAATAAAGGGCTCAATTTACATCTAATGGATGTTGTTACAACCTATCTGTATGGCTCACTTGACAATGACATTTATATGAGACTCCTTGAAGGGCTGAAATTGCCAGAAGCATACAATTCAAACTCTCGAGAACGATACTCAATTCAGTTAAACAAATCCCTATATGGATTAAAGCAATCAGGGCGAATGTGGTATAACAGGCTTAGTGAGTATCTATTGAGGGAAGGATATAAAAATGATGCAATATGCCCATGTATTTTTATGAAAAGATCAGGAAATGAGTTCGTTATAATCGCTGTGTATGTTGATGATATAAATATTATTGGAACTCCTGAAGAGCTTGAAAAGGCAGTGAATTGCCTAAAGAAAGAATTTGAAATGAAGGATCTAGGAAGAACAAAATTTTGCCTTGGATTACAAATTGAGTATTTGAAAAATGAAATTTTTGTATATCAAGAAACTTATACAAAAAGGATCCTAGAACGTTTTTATATGGATAAATCACATCCATTATGTACTCCAATGGTTGTAAGATCTTTGGAGGTGGATAAGGACCCTTTTAGACCTCAAGAAATTGGGGAAAAATGTGATGAAGAGCTACTTGGTCCAGAAGTACCATATCTTAGTGCAATTGGAGCACTAATGTATCTTGCTAATCATACACGACCTGATATATCATTTGCAGTCAACTTACTAGCAAGATATAGTTCTTCACCAACACGAAGGCATTGGAATGGAGTTAAACACATCCTTCGTTATCTTAAGGGTACAATGGATATGGGATTATTTTATTCGAATGCATCCAAGACCAATCTTGTTGGCTATGCAGATGCTGGATTTCAGTCTGACCCACATGTCGGTAAATCACAAACTGGCTATGTATTCACATGTGGCGGTACAGCCATTTCATGGCGATCTATGAAACAAACTATATCAGCCACATCATCTAACCATGCAGAGATTCTAGCAATGCATGAAACAAGTCGGGAATGTGTATGGTTAAGGTCCTTAATACATCACATACGAACTACTTGTGGCTTGTCTTCTGGTAAAATGATCCCAACAATACTATATGAAGATAATACTGCATGTATTACCCAACTAAAAGAAGGGTACATCAAAGGAGACAGAACAAAGCATATCTCCCCAAAATTCTTCTTCGCTCGTGATCTTCAAAAGGATGGTGAAGTCAATATCCAACAAATTCGTTCTAGCGAAAATTTAGCAGACTTATTCACCAAATCACTTCCAGCCACCACGTTCGAGAGACTTGTTCATGATATTGGGCTTCACAGACTCAGAGATATCAACTGACATTGTCAAGAGGGGGAGTAAATGTATGCTGTACTCTTTTTTTCCTCATCTATGGTTTTTCCCATTGGGTTTTCCTAGCAAGGTTTTTAATGAGGCAACACTATGAAATATATATCAATAAATGTTGCACTCTTTTTCTTCTACTAGGTTTTGTCCCACAGGGTTTTCTTAGTAGAAGTTTTTTAACGAGGCACATATTTAGTTATGGACATCCAAGTGGGAGTGTTATGAATATAATATCTTTATGGATGTCCATGTATCTATCATTATCTTTTATTATTATATTTGTAGATTCTATCAAAGATGTAAAGCCGTGCCTATAAATAGAGGCCATGTACAATGTATTCAGTACCCCATTGAATAGAAAGAGAAATACTCTCTCTTATTGATATTCTTTTCTTCTCTGTTCTTCTTCTTTATTTATAACATTACATAATTTAATACATTTATTTGTTCTCTTTCAAGATCACGTATTTTCTAAAAACAACATGGTTTTCAAAAAATTCAAATTCTTAGCAGTGCGTCATGCAAGGGAGTTAAGGTTTTCTTATTTAATTTTTAAATTATGAATTTCCGAAATCTTTACAAACTTTTCCTAAGAGAGGATAAATTATATATATATAATTACAGTTATACATAATTTTCCAACTTTTTTGTCGGAATATTTTTCCTACTTTTTGAAGAGAAATTTTTTGTTCATGTTTTAAAATGTAGAGAATGTCAGTGTAAGTTCATTGACATATATAAAAAGTTTGTAGGATTCTTTTATGATAACTGTCCAATCAAACAAAGGGTCATTTAATTGAAAAAAATCATCTCTTCAACAAAATCCTAAAGCGGCTAGAAACATTTTCATCTCCGTAGTGGCCCCTTTAAGAATTTACAGCAAGCAAAATGTGAAATTGACGAAAAAGTGAAATCCAGAGAAAAACCTTAATAAAGAACTACAGCAAGCAAAACATGAAGGGAAAATCACAAATAAATACCCCTGAATTACTGAAATTACGCAGAGGTCACCTGAATAAGGAAAATTACCGTGAGGGACCCAATCTCATATTGTAAATATGAAATCTTGATGAAATGTCTGAAATGCCCCTCAATCAAATGACAAGTTGACTATAAGAAGTGACAAGTTCACTTTAACAGATAACAACTTCAATAGATCAAATCACAATTTGATTGAAGGTATGCTACATGACAAGTTGATTATAGGAAATAACAAATTTACTTTAGCAGATAACAACTTCAGTAGACCAAATTACAATTTGACTGAGGGGTATTTCAGACATTTCATCAAGATTTAGTAATTTGGGGGTC